TTCATGGTCACTACAGCCCAGGCTACCCTTGAGTTTGACAGTGTCTGCCAGCGCCTCCTTGTTGGTAAGAACAAGGTCCAGCAGAGCTTCTCTCCTCGTTGGCTCCTCAACCACTTGGAGAAGGAATTTGCTGTCAATGCAATCCAAGAACCCCCTGGAGTGCCTATGCCTGACTGTGTTACCCTTACAACAGATGACAGGGTGGTTGAAGTTGTCCATGAGAACCAGGGACTGTGAACGTGATGCTGCCCCTATTTGTCTAGAGGGCTTCATCCACTCAGTCTTCTTGGTCAAGTGCCCTGTAGCAGACCCCCACCGTAATGTCCCCTGCTCCTGACTTCCCTTTAATCCTGACCCATAGGCTCTCAGTTGGCTCTTTATCCATCCCTAGGCTGAGCTCCATGAATTCCAGCTGCTCATTGACACATAAGGCAACACCACTGCCTCGTTTCCCTTGCCTGTCTCTCCTGAAAGCCTGTAGCCTTCCATGCCAACACTCTAGTTGTAGGAGTCATGCCGCCAAGTTTCTACGATGCCACTTGAGATTGTAGCCTTGGAGGCATGCACACATCTCTAGCTCCTCCTGTTTGTTCAACAATACCTGTAATTAACAAGGTAGAATTGCAGTTCAAAAATCTACTGACACCTCAGCTGCCTTTATCACTTACTAAGGCATGGAATAAAGTAAAAGAGCAAGCATGAGCAAGAGGTGTGTTATTAATGAAGGTTAGTAACATTTAATCTTACAGTTTTAAACTGGCTAAACTGGCCAGTCTTCTAAATACTTCCATCACAAACATATGATTCCCTAGCACACATCGCACACGCGCATGTCCACCACACATGCATCCCTTCCCTCATGGTAATTTGCACCATGTTTTCTACTTGAGCAAAAAGGGGTCAGGGTTATACACAGCCTGTCCCAGCACTGCCACTTCCAGCCTCTGAGACAGCGTGCGTGCTCTCCTAAGACACAGGGAGGTTCACCCTCACATACCTTCTTTACTGCAGCTGGGAGAGTTGCTCAGTTGCTCCTCCTTTCCACCTTCTGCACCCTGGGTCACTTCTGCAAGGATAACAGGCAATACTCAGACAATCCTGGAGCTCACAACACTCCCCTTCCCCAGCCCAGATGGATCAAGAGTAATCTCACTGAAAGCTGGGCCATCTGTTCGGCATCAATAATAGCCCTGATCAGTATCCCCTGCCCCCACGGGACCATCATACAACACCTCCCCTCTCTCCTCCACTGTCCACACTGTCCTCATGCTCCCCTCCAGACCTTGCAAAAGCCAAGCGCAGAAGGCACTCAGTGATCATGGTGCCACCCATAACTTCACATCAAGAAGCATCAGGCAAAAGCCACAATGAACAAAGACCGCTCCACAGAGCAGGCATTTGCCTCCCTCATTTATGCCATGGCCAGCAAGCTCATGTTAAAGATGTCTGAAAAGAGATCAGAAGACAACTACAGTCCCCTGCCTTGCTCAGCTTCAAGGTACTGGCCATTGCATAAAAGTGAGTTATTAGCTGCTACTCATCATGTTGCCATCAGCTAACACTAGAAATTCAACACCTTTCCACCAATACAGCTCCCCACCACAGAACGGGCACTCACCTCCCTCAGTTACACCATGGTCAACAGCACACTCGGATGTCAGGGTGCTATTCTGGTTGGTAGAGAGCTCTGAAAAGGGATCACAGGACAGCTACATCCCACTGCTTAACTTCACATTGGTATCAGTCATTACTTAGAGATGAGTCACCAGCTACAATTTATAAGAATCGTAATAATCATACAGGTTTGCTCAGGGGGTGAATCCAGGAAGTCTCTAACCCAACCCCCTCCTCAATGAAAGGTCAACATTCATTTCCAGACAGGTTGCTCAGGAATTTCTCCAGTCAGGTCTTAAAAACCTCCGAGGGTAGAGACTCCATGATGTCTCCATGCAGCCCATCCTAGTGATTAGTCATGCTTAGAAGGCAGAAATCTTTCTCTCATATCCACACAGAACCTCCCCTGCTTCAATTTAGGACCATCAGCTTGATATTCCACTATACACCTAAGTAAACAGGCTGGCTTCAGTTTCTTCAGTGTCTCCATAGCTGAACTGTGCTCCAGCCTCTGACCATGTTGGTGGTACTCTGCTGAACTCGGCCAAATTTACCAGCCCTTTTCCAGCACTGGGTCAGCCACAAACTAGATGCAATACTCTACGTGTCATCTAACAAGTGCCAAGTAATGAAAAATAACAACTTGCTTCAAGGTACTGGCTTAAGCACTCCTTAAAACAGCCTAGAACGCTATCAGCTGCCTTTGCTGCCAGGGAGCACTGTTGACTCAATAGTGTACCATCTGTAAGGATTCCCAGGTACCTTTCAGCAGAGCTGTTCCCTTGCCAGTCAGTCCCCATTCTGCACCAGTGTAAGCTCTTGGTCCATCCAGGTGCAGAACCCTGCATTGTCTCTACAGAATTTCATGAGGTTCACACAGGCCTCTTCCCCTCCAGCTTTGTCTGAATGACAATCCTGCCCTCATATTGATTGACTGCACTCCACATTTTTCTGTCATCTATAAACTCAATGACACTGCTTTCTCTCCCTTGTCCAGGTCGCAAAAAAAAAAAAAAAAAAAAAAAAAAAAAAAAAAAAAAAAGACCACTGCAGTACTCCAATTGCCACCAGCATCCAAGCGGAGTATAACACATTAACCACTACCTGCAGGCCTGACAATCTAGCAAGTTTTCTACCCATGTAGATAGACATTCATTCAGACTAGGACATCCCAACTTAGAACTCCGAGGATGCTGTGGGACATTGCATAAAAAGCCTTGCTAAAGTCAAGGTTTGAGACACCCATTCTCCCCTCATCTACAGATCTAGTTATTTCATCAAAAAAAGGTTGTGAAGTTGGTCAACTGTGATTTACACTTGTTGAAACCATCCTGCTTGGTCACAGTCACCATCTTTCTCCTGTGACCAGAAACGTGTTCAGTTTTCAGTCCAACACACTGTCTGGTCATCTGGCCTACACTATAGCCTATAACAGCATCAGATATCACTAAATCAATCCCCTGTTCAGGAACAGGCCCACATTTTCCTCACCTATTCTTTTACAGATAACCTAGCAGCAGAAGCTGCTCTCGTGGTCCTGGTCATCCCATAGAAGTTTCAAGCCTCCCTGAACCTTGGCTTTCCTGACACCATCCTTACCTGCCCAGGCGGTATTCCTCAATTCCTCCATTGTAGTCTGCCCCTGCCTCCACGTCTAGTATAAGCAATTTTTGCACTGGAGCCCTGTCAGGAGCTCCTTGCTTAGCCAAGCTGATCTTCTGGTTTGCCTGCCTGATTTCCTGACCATCAGGATGGCCCGTGCTCATGCTTGGAGAAGGTCCTCCTTAAAGGCCTGATGGCTCTCTTGAGCTCCTTTGCTCTTTGGAACTGTCTCCCGTGAGATCTTGCCTACCTTCTTTCTGAAGAACTGGAAATTTGCTCTCTGAAAGCGCAGGGCCTGTACTCTGATGCTTACCTTCCTCACTCCTCTCAGGATCTGGAGCTGTTTCTTCCTGGCTTACACCATTTTTAACTGTCTGCTTGTCCTTCAAGGCACTGTCCTCCTTGTTCAGGTCTTTGTCTGAAAACAGATCAGAGAAGAGCTGCAGACCCTCAGGAGGACATTCTATTGCTTCTTCCCCACACCACCATAGGTCATCGCTCTGTGCTGTCCAGAGCTCAGCAGCACACCTTCTCCTCTGCAATTGCGACATACCACTGTCCTACCAGCAGAAGCCCTACTTAGAATTGCTTTGTACACGCATTTTAAGAACGTTGCAGCCTTCCCTACTGTTTCCTGTCTGTACAGCAGTGATTGCGTGCTACCTAAGTGCTGTAGGGTATACTGCGCAAAGGTGCACTGACTCCCCTTCCTGGTATAAATATTAAGTATTTTATTTTGTTCCTCCAGTGTCTGATGAGACAACTCTTACCTATGGACCTGATTCACTTTTGCCCAAACTGTACGTTTCCCTCCTTTCTTCCATAAGACAGGCACAAAATAGAACTTTCTCCTATATCCACGTCTATGTTTATGGAAATAGTTACACAAGTGATAAGACAATGAAAGTTCCACTCCAGTCCCACAGTGTACCATACCTTCACCATCAGCTACACAACCCCTATTTCTTCCGATAAGGAAAGCTGTTCCACATCCATTACAATTCATGCAGGAAGAACGAGCAACAAAACCCAGGGCCTACTGGGTTTCCTTTTCCTTATTATCCTTAGGGATTTTCTCCTTAATCAGAAAAAAAACCTCTGCCTTCTTCAACCCCCTTATTATCAGCCACTTGTGGAAAATGATGGAAGGGTTAGTGAGTGATTGAATCATTAGTGCCACAGCGTGGGGAAAAATCCCATTTTTTTACTGACTTGAACTGTAACATTTGTATTTCACTATCCCTCTAGAGTAAAAATAATTTCTAGAAAAAAAATAGAAGTCCCAGATTTTCCTTGAAATTTTCACTGGCTGTACGAAGAAAGTAAAACTGGGGCATTGCTTAGCTGCCTGATGAATGTAGTCAAAAGATTTTTCCGGCCCTCATCCTGAGGCCAGCCCCCATTCTCCATTGTCAGAAGCATTATTCACCTCCAAAGAGCTGCTGACCAGGCAAATCTCAGGTCATTCACTGTCAGTAATTCTGCCAGCCCCACTAACACATCCACTAAGTGCAGATCCCTATGATTATCCAACATTGGACCTCAGCTGAGACTTTGAGGCCATGTATGCACATACTGAAAACCAACTCAAAAGCTTAGACCCTGCAAAAAAGGAAAAAGCAGATCAGACTCCTTGCTCCAACAGCAGATATTTAGAAACATCTATAACTCAATACAGGTTTCTCACCTCTGTCTGAGTTAGGCTGTTCTTGGCTGTCCTTAGAGTAAAGTAGCTCATGTTCTCCTATAATGAAATTTATTTATTTTAGAAAGGGTGTATTAATGATATGGAAAAGATAACTACACTCTGTAAAACAACTAAGGCCTGAAAGGAAACTTACTCCTTTACCTCTCCAGTGAAAGCCTATACTGCCACAGACAAAAAATTTACAAGCTTAAACGAATTAAAGCAGTAGTCTGATTTCCACGCATCTGTGACACTCTAGCTCTCTTACCTGAGCCATGCACTGGACTGTTCTGAGCAGCTCCTCCTGCTAAAAGTTTAGCTCTACCTGCACCAAAACAAATAGAATACCTGGAGAAATTTCTCAGAAATAAAATTTTGTGCCTTTGGAGACTGGCTGACAGCCTCAATCCATTCTGCACATACACCCCCAGCCACACCCCAAACCAAATAAAAAGCATTCACTGAGGACATGCAACTGAATACTTGAGGAAATTAAAAATAGCAAAATACTGTTCTGGGGCAAAGAGAATCAGTGGGAGATCAACAAAGTGGGCCTCCTGCAACAACAACAAATCAGAACACATCTAACCAAAACTAAAGCAGAGCTTAGCAACTCGTGATTCTGAGCCTTATACTTAAATCAGCAAATTGCATCTTCTGTTTGATTACACCTGTGTACTGCTTATCCTACTGAGGTATAACAAGATTATTTTCTAGCATGGTCAAACCTTCACTGTTTAAAGGGAAGCAGCTGAATCATTTTGAGTCTAACTGATGACCAGTTATGACATTCTCCATACGTTGATACCAAACATAACGTTGTTCAACATCACCAACATGGACAAAGGCACAGAAAGCACATCAGAATGTTTGCAGATGACATCAAACCGGGGAGAGAGGGGATATGCTGGAGGGCAAGGCTGCCACTCAGAGGGACTTCAACAACCTGGAGCAATGTGCTAGCACAAAAGATGTGATGTTCAAAGGCAAAAAGCCCAGCACCTGAAATTGAGGAATACAGAGGAATTGTTCAAACAGCCAGGGATCGGGTTAGACAAGCTAAAGCCCAGACAGAACTGAATCTGGCCAGGGACATTAAGACTAACAAAAAATCCTTCTTTAAGTATGTCAGCGAGAAAAGAAAAACTAGGGAAAATGTGGGCCCTCTCCGGAAGGAAACGCAAGAACTAGTTACCCGGGACAGAGACAGAGCTGAGGTCCTCAACGACTTTTTTGCCTTAGTCTTCAGTGGCAAGGACTGCAGCCGCACTGCCCACAATGCAGAATGCAAAGGTGAGGATTGGGAAAATGAAGAACCACCCACTGTAGGTGAAGACAAAGTGTGAGACCACCTGAGGAACCTGAAGGTGCACAAGTGCATGGGACCAGATGAGATACATCCGCGGGTCCTGAGGGAACTGGCAGATGAAGTCACTAAGCCACTAGCCATCATATTTCAGAAGTCGTGGCGGTCTGGTGAAGTTCCTGCCAACTGGAAAAGGGGAAACATAACCTGTATTTTCAAAAAGGGACCCAGGGAACTACAGGCCAGTCAGTCTCACCTCTGTGCCTGGCAAGATCATGGAGCAGATCCTCCTGGAAACTCTGCTGAGGCACATAGAAGACAAGGAGGTGATTGGTGACAGCCAGCATGGCTTCACCAAAGGCAAGTCATGCCTGACAAATTTGGTGGCCTTCTATGAAGAAGTTACACTGGCAGTGGACAAGGGAAGAGCAACCCATGTCATCCACCTGGACTTGTGCAAAGCGTTTGACACCATCCCACACAATGTCCTGGTTTCTAAATTGAAGAGACATGGATTCAACAAATGGACCACTCAGTGGATAAAGAACTGGCTGGACGGTCACACTCAAAGAGTTATGATCAATGGCTCAATGTCCAAGTGGAAAGCAGTGACAAATGGTGTTCCTCAGGGGTTGGTACTGGGACTTGTACTGTTCAACATCTTTGTCGGTGAGATAGACATA